CACATTTCGAACCGAACACTGATTTTGGTAATAAAATTCAATGATTTGCAAGCGTTGCTCGTTAGTAAGTCTATTCATGATGAAATTTCAAAGCATACTGAGCATCTTTCTCTTTGACACCATGTCTGAAATCCCACGTGATCTGTCAAATACTAATGCATGAAAATCCTAACCTCAAAAAAATCACCCGTTACATATGGGCATAGATCATTTACTAGAAAAGTGTCATAATCCAAAAAAAATAAAAAATCGTGTTAAGAATGAACGTTACCTCTTTCCTGTGATGTGTAAAAGTTTCAAACCTGTAACAATTATCAGTAACTCACTAGAAAAAAATATGTATTAGTTTTTACCATGGGAGTAGATATATGCAAATTAAAAACTTTAAAGCCGTTTTTCTCGAGTTTTTAGTTCTTTGAGTTAAGATAGTATTGAAGTCAATGAGCGATAGGTATGGTATGTACATACATAAAAACTTAAACTAAAAATTTAAAAATTCATTTGGATGCAACCACGTCAAATCATTGCCTGCCACCAAAAGCATTTTCAAGCAAAGTATGTATGTACATACTTATTTTTCGCAAGGCATTTTTGAATTCAAGTAACAAAGCAGAACAGCTATGCGCGAGGTTAATTCGTTGCTGTCTCGCCAACTCTGAGCACAAGTGTGCTTCCCACCAGCTTTGCCACAGACACATGTTTTTTCCTACCTAAATTTCCTACCATAACCAACCAAAACCTACCAAACATTTTTTTCAGTATTAATTATTTTTTCAATGTCAAATTTATTAAAAACATAGCTAACATAATATTTGGTAAAACTAAAACACAGCTAGTACAATAAAACCAAATTAGCTGAGTATAACGATTTATTTTACTGTACATACATACATATCATCATTAGATACGAATAAAGACGCGAGCTCAAAAGTTGACAGCGAAAAAAGACACGTAAAAAAAATTCGGCGAAGAAGAACTCTTAACATAGGCGAGGACAAAGAAAGACGCGTTAACCTCTTTGACGGGGAGAAAGACGAAGAAGACTTATTTTCGCGGTCAACATTACCTTGTTTGTATGGCACCTAAAACGGTTTCATATATACTCGTGTCAATGTATCACGCTTGTGTTACAAGCGTTTATACATACCGAAATTAGTGTGTTCAATGAACACACTTTCAAAACGCGTGAAAAATCAGCTGTTTTTCAATTTAAAAGCAGCATTCATAAGAAAAAGATGGAATTCAATACACACAAGTTTTTATTTTATTATTTAATGGAGCGGATGCGGAGAAAACGAAAAGTTATTTTTCAAACATTTTTTAACTACCACCACCAAGTGTTGCAGAACTCGTACCATGAAAAAAGCTCATTGAAATGTATCGCATCGTTCCAAAGCGACTTGCCAGAAATATTCTTTCGAGTAAACGTTCCCCGATTTCGCAGCATTCATCGTCGAGTGCGACTTGATAGTTACCTGTGGTTTCTACAACAATCAGGAAACGAAAACTTTTATTATGAGCTATTCCGCATGAGCAAAGATTCTTTTAACATGCTTTGTAAAAAATTGTCGCCTTATCTAACTTGTCCAGAGGTATTTGTGACACCACCTTTGACAATTTCACACCAAGTCGCGCTATGCTTGTTTAAAATCGCTTCATGTGCAGAGTACCGTGTTGTTGGGGATGTGTTTGGGGTGCATAAAAGTACGGTACACAAGTACTTTTACCTCGTAATTAAAGCAATACTGCAGCTTCGAGCGGAGTACTTTTATTTTCCAAAGCTAGAGGAGGCCAAAACAATCGCTATTGCCTTTCAAAAAATAACCAATATACCTAATATCATTGGTGCAATTGATGTTAATCAAAAACTTCCAATGAGCGAAAAATCCGATATTGAACAAAATAATTTAATTTTCAGGAACACACATCCCGATTTTGCCCCCCAGCGATGGCTATCAAGACTATCTAAATAGAAAAGGATGGCCATCGATAGTGATGCAAGCAGTAGTTGGTAATAATTACATGTAAGCTTAATCCA